CCTCCAGATCCAAATGCCAGAGAGACATTAAAGCGAACAAACGCGCATTGTTATTATTAAGGGGTTGGACAGCTTTGCTTTCACTTCAGTGTGCGGGGATGGATGGGAGCCACAGGGCAACTTGAGAATAAGCTGTGAATAAAAATGTAGCAAGAAGCAAGAGAGTGGCGGTTGTTGCGTGTGCTATGAGAGGAGGCAATGACGCCACCAGTCTGGCTTTTTTTACAAATTGCTTGATGGTAGTTTTCCCCTCCGGAGGACTCAGCTCTGAATGCCAGAGAATAAAAAAAAAAAATCAGCACTATTTTTTTTTTTTTTTTGTGCAGCTCACTAGAGGAATGTGCGTGCTTTGGGGAAGTTTAAGAGATATTCAGTTTGATGAATAACTGCTTAAACCTGCTCAGATTATTGCTGACTTCTACTTTCACACATTCATTGTCTTTTCTGGAGAGAGGAAGCCAGCTGAGAAAAACACACACACACACATTCTCTCATATGCTGATTTATTCATGAACAGTCCCGGGTCAGGGGGATCATATTCCATTTACTACATCTGGTTTAGATTTCCAGTGTGGCACCTTTTTTCTGTTTCTCCACAAATGTGTCACATCATGAATGTCAGGGCGGACATATTTGATATTAAAAAAGCTGTTTTGTGTGCGTCTGTGCGCACATCCGCGGCGGGTTTTTTTTTTTTTTTTTTGCAAAGAGCTACAGCTGCATTCATGCCAATGACGCTGGCATTTCGTGGTATTTTCTGAAGGCAAACATCTCTCTCTCTCTCTCTCTCTCTCTCTCTCTGGCTCCCCCCCTCCCGTCCCTCATTCACTGCAGCTACTGACGTCAAGACATGCTTGCGTCAATGCTCCCTGCTTTGACAGAGAGCTTTTTTTTTCATAGGGATCATAATGGGATTATTAGGCTTAGAGAAATACCCTGCCTTCATGGCTTTTTAGATTTTTTTTGATACATGTCCCATTATCTTTTTTTTTTTGCTCTAAATATTATTCCCTATAATAAGAAAAGGACATATAATTGGCTCTTTCAGCGTATCATAAGGGACTGGATGATTGCATATCATTTCACACTGATGATGATGATGCTTTTCCTCGAAGTAGTTTTAACATAACGTCATAAACCTTGAAAGAACATTTAATGTTCTTACATCTATTATTTATAACATGCAGAGATGAATGCACGCTCTCTGGACTCCTACATGCAAAAAGATAAAAAAAGCAGTCTGTCTTTTTTTGTATGATCACCAGAGTGTGTGTCTGTATTGAACTGCTGTGTGTGTGTTTTTTATGCTGAAATTGTATCCACAGAAAAAAAAGCGGGCAGCATATCGTGCACACATGAACTGTGCAGACAGTGGGGTTTGACAGTGAGATGCTCGGAGACATCAGTGAAGGAGTCAGTTGTGTATTTGATTTAGCGGATTAGATGTCTGCTCCTTCCTGTTGCTGCTTGTAGGGGGGAGGATGTCATGATGTCCTTATACACTGACCTTGATCTTCTGGGCTGAATGGGCTCTTGTGCATGTCGACTGGCCTCACATAATGCCCGTCTTTACACTTTCCTCTGCTCAGCTGCTCTGCTGTTTTATTCAGACACTCTGCAATCAGTCACGTCGCTGCGTTTATATTTTCTGTTTTTGCTATTAGAAAGTTTTCAGGAAAAGCTTGACCACCCAACAGCACCTAAAGATATATAAAGAAGGTCAAAAGGTCATAATCTTACATAATCTTGTTGCACATTTTCATGTGTGTGAAATCTTACAATATAAGACAAAAATGACATCTTTCTTGTTTTTTTATTCTAGCTATATGGAAGTCTTCTATGGACACACATCCACATATTTTGTTGTACCCAATTTCTCCATTATCAAAAGTAATTTCAGATTGTTTTCTGAAGATCTTGCGTTATTTATGTCGTTAACTCGAGACAACATTGCTGGTTCTCCTGTGATAACAAGAGGATTTGTAATGAACTTGAGTAGGGCTGGGAATCTTTGGGTGTCTCATGATTCGATTCAGAATCGATTTTTTTGATTCAAAACGATTCTCAATTCATGATTCAAAGTCTATTTTTGATTGAGTACATACTTCAGGATCTACTCCAGTCATCATCAGACTGGCTGAATTTCTTGTTGCTCCATTTGTCATTCTACTGAGTTAAAGGGACTGATTAACCCAACCCTCGATTTTTGGAAGAAGAATCTCGATTTTGTCATAAAACTATTTTTTTCCCACCTCTAATTTTGAGAAAACAACTGAAATTAACCATACAACTATAAAACATTGACATATAGTCTCAGTGAGGTCACCCATTGGTTACTGAAGAGGTGTTTAAATTGAAAATGCGATCTCATCCTAACTTTCAGTCACTCTAAGGCGAGAACATGGAGCTGAAGCGAGCTGTTTTTTACTTACTTGGAAGTAGACTTTATACTTTAAACTTCTGGTTTTCCACTCTGTTATTGAAAGACAAGCTTCTTCTCACACAAACAGAACCTGTGGACATGCATTAGTGGAGAGATGTCAGAGTGGGGCTGCTACACAGGGAGTGCACCAATGCCTTGCTCAAGGGCAACTCGCCTATACTCAGGAAGTGACCTGGCATCTCACAAGCCACCAGGTCCATATCGGTCCGCATCAGGACTTGAACAGGTGTTCCTCCGGTTCCTAACCCCAAGTCCCTAGAGGCGGAGCTACTGCAGCCTGATATGAACTACTCAGACCAACATCGTTTTTTTTGTACCAGGATATAAACATGTTTATTCCTGCTCTCAGAATGGATATTTTAACTCGGGTGTGATTTTCAGGCTTCTGGAGTCAGCATCGAGTGGAGACTGCAGTTTCTTTTTCGCACTTTTGTATTGGTGTCATTTTTCAACTCCTGAGGCTGAAGCTTGAAATTCACTTATCATGGAAAAACCAGCGTTGTTATCTTGAGATACAAACAAAAATAAGTTGAGATCTCCAGAAATCACCATACATGACTCCTCATCAAGGGAAAAACTGGTTAAAACTAAACATATGGATGCATGTTCGCTTTTGGGTTTCAATAAATCTGAAACATAAAACACACAATAATATAATTCTAAATGGTTACTCTGTGCTTTGTGACCATCGTTGAGCTGGCTCTGAAGCTTTTTTTTTGCATTTACTGAAGAGTTCTTGAAATGCAAACTTTTATGGTACTTAGAAAACATCAGGAGATCAAAATATTCAAAGGATACAAAGTCAAACGATCCTTCATACATCTTGTATCAGCTGGAGTGTGATTCAGCAGCAGATCCTGTTTAATCTAGACACTGACATCTGAATCTGTCCTATACCTGCCCATCAAGCTGTTTAAACATCAACGCAGCAGCATCCTGGTCCACCTCACCATTAGTGCATTGAGTCTATAAATAACAGGGAGGCTACGTCAGACTCAGGCTAACTGTTTGGAGCAGGATTATCTGTAAATAACAGATAATTGATTTACATCTCAACAAACTTTCTGTCATCACCGGCTGCAGCTCAGAAACTTTGCTGAGTCACTCGAGGTCATGGAAGACTTTGTAGAGTGATGCGTTAATCCAGCTTTAAATATCTCCACACTACATACAGTACGGTACAAGCCTATGAGGAGGAAGCTGAGGAGTTTACACGTTTCACAGGAAGCTGGTTTGATGAGTTCAGAGAGTATTTTCACCTCAATAGATTCCCCGAAGTAAATCAGTGTACACACTCCCCAATTCAAGTCTTTGAAGCCTCTGATGGTTTCATTTATTTTGCAATCCACAATCTGAAAATTGCAAAATAAATGTTCACAACTATTAGAAAAAATAGCAATAAAACTGTTTATTTTGTGTTGAGAAATTTAAGACTGTGTGGACGTGGCGGGGCACATTTTGACTGACATCTCATCGAGCAGCAGGGAGCAGCGTTAAGGAAACATGCTATGTTGAAGTGCTGGCTTCTCTGACAACAATGCAGCAGCCAGTATGTCCTCCTTCTAACTTTAGATTCTGCTCCTGAATGCTCTGGATTTGTTTGGACCAGAGAAGGTAGGTGGTTTTAAGGCGACACCACCACACGGCCCGTTTTGGACGCCCCTCTGTTTGCCAGATATGAGAGCAGTTATCAGGTCAACAGGTGTTGCAGCGATGGAAGCGGGCAAGAGAAGTGGTTCAGATAGAAGTGATTGTACCCGACCTAAAAAGCCTCTGCATGTTTCTAATAAGCTCCACGAGCAGAAACGTGCTCAAACTAGGATCAATATTGGAGATGCTTTTGAAAAATGGAGAGAGGTTAGAACACAGAAAGGTTTACAGACCCATGCAGAGCTGGATAAACACTGAAGCTTCAGAGTCCACCACATGGTGACCTGTGTGAGCATCCACTCTAGAGAGGAGGGGGGAGACAGCTCTCTATGATGTTTAGAATTAAGATTGCAGTACCCACTTTAAACACTAGGGGTCAGAGTTACATACTGCTCCTTTAACAGTGAATTGAAGCAGATTTGGTGATTTTGTGGAGTCGTCATTTCAGGAAAATCTGCTTCATCCAACAACAACAAAATATCATATACAATTGTGTCCATGTTGGGTTGAAATTAACTTAAACAACGTCATAGAGAGCAGTGTGGTGTGCAAAGACGGACATGACACACATCAAGGTTGTAAAGGTCAGGTAGATCGCCTCAAAACGAGCCAGCAGAGAGACCTCGGCATGGTTTTTAATGACATGGAGAGTTGAGCATCATTGATCTTTACAATCTTTTAAAATAAACTGAGACGTAACATCACCAACATTGTGGTACAAAACAATATTTACAAAGTAAGCCTCAAAATATTCTGTACAATTCTTTTGTTACTGCTGTGAATATCATGCAGTTATGCTTAATATAAGCTGGTTTGCAAACGTAAGAATAAATGTGTTTCCTGATATGTGCAACAAAAAACATTTCATAAAATTAAAAATAAAGTCTGTTCATTTTTTTGGGTTGATTGCTCCTTTAACTCCAACAGGCTCATTTCCATCAGAGGGAGGGAGGAGTCACCGGAGTCCAGGCTGACGGTAGTCGCCCGTGGGGAGACGTGTCATAAAGAGCTGCGTCATGCACCTCTGTGCCGCCGTCATACATGGGAGAGCCAGAGGAGGGCGCTGTGGCCGAGTGGGTCAGGCTCGGGTAGTGGCTGCTCGACCCTCGGAGGAACTGGGAGCTCAGGCTGCTGCTGTTGTTTATCCCCCCGTTCTGGGACACGGGAGTCAGGGGCGAGTTACTCACAGACCACAGGCCGGTGTACTGACTGCACAGAGAAGACAAGGAGAGAAAAAGATCTTACTCATCTCCTCTCAGGGTGTGAGGGAGTGTTACATTTTAGACCTCGCTTACTGGATATGTTGCTGAGCTGCAGAGAGAGTTGAGGGAATATTTGCATGTTTTTTGCATATTTTGCAAGTGCAAAATAGAAAATACTGGATGAAAAGCAGAATGAGGACAATCATACACAAAAACGTATCTGCAATAACACAGATTAATGCTCCATAAAGTAGTAGAAGTTTGATCATAATCCCCTCGATAGAGAACTTCAGATTTTTTAAATCATGGAGAAGAATGACGTCTTTTTTAAGCAATTCTAACTCATTTAACCTCAGAGATAAACAGTTAGTTTGCTTGTTTTGTTCTGGAGGTCTCAAAGGTCCCCTGAGTCTCATTAATTTATTTAACTATGTTTGTATTCTCTCTGTTCTAAATTTGTATTTTGATTTATTTCTTTACCATCATGTAGTGTTGGAGTCAAAACCACTGAGACCAAGAAATACCTGAGACGAGGGTGCTCAGAGACAGAGACAAGACCAAGACATTTAGGGATCGAGACCAAGTCAAGACCAAGACCAAGGACAAGACCAAGACCAAGACCAAGACCAAGACCATAAATATCTCTGAAAAATCATCATCTTGTGAGCAGCGGGCGTGTCACTCACTTAGACCATAACACCGGGAAGGTTGCGGCCGTAACCGGTGGATACAAATCTAATAATGAATAAATTTAAGTTATTTGTTCATTTAGAAAAAGGAGTTTTTCTGTCAGTGGTGGTCTCGACCGGTCTTGATTTAAAATCAGGAGTCCGCCTAGTCTGAGAGCAAGACAAGACCAAGTAAAAATGCTTTCGAGACGAGACCTTAAAAAAAGTGGACTCAATATCGGTCTTGGTCAGTACTAGAACACTATAACTTCATGTATGTGGATACTGGGGGTGAGTGACTCACAAAAGAGTAAAAACACAAACCTGGAGTGGGTGGCGGAGGTCGGATTGTGGGTCATGGGCATCATGCTGGAGTGTGTCGACATCTGCAGACCGGACCAGTTCTCGTGGCTCGAGAGCATCGACAGACAGGCGGACGAGTTATCGGAGTAACCGACTACAACACAGAAACACAACTGTCGGTTTAATTTAAGTGAACGGACTATGTTACTGTAACAGACAATTTAAACGATGTAATGTTTGCATAAACGCACCTGAAGCTACAGGGAGATTTGTATTAATCAGCTTCATGCAGATTGGGTTATACCAAAGACTGTAAATATTAACAGAAAGTCTGAGTGACGCCAACCATCTGTTCCTGCAGGGGGCGCTGGAGTCCCATCGATGGCGGTCTCCATGCTGGAAATGCTGTCTCAGTCTAACTTTCAGTTAACCTAACGACAGGCTGAGAGCTGGAGCTGAGGCGGGTTTTAAACCTCCTGACAAACCGTTACACCGCGCCCACCTGTCAATCAGGTCAGCTACACGCCTTATTGTGAATAACTCTTATCCTTCATCAAATCAAAACTGACGAGTCATCAAAACATTCACCCCCGTACAGTGTGTGTCCATCCAGACATGAGCTAATCACACCTATTTGGTTTTTTGAACCAGGCTGTAAACATGTTCATCTCTGCTGTAAAAACAGGTTTTTTAGAATGGGTGTGTATGTGACTTCCTGTGCTTCTGCAGCCAGCCTCTAGTGGACACTCGAGGAACTGCAGGGTTTTTTAATTTCTCATCTACTTCATTTTTTTACACAGGAGGTTGCTGCTTGGTTTACACCCACCAGGGGAAAAGCGAGCTCAAATATGGGACTTAAACAAACAATAGTTTTATTCATTCTAGTGCAGGAGTGGGCAACTGGCGGCCCGGGGCCAACATGCGGCCCCCAGGTCAATTTTTACATATCAATTAATTGTAAAATTGAAGAAAACATGACAAAATCAGCCATGAAATCAGGAAGAAATATGTCCATAATGATATTTGATCACTAGTATATGTTGAGTTAAATTTGAGACATAATTGACTGTAATTGTTTTTATATACTATAATTTGTGAGAATTAAATGAATGTGGCCCTTGCTGTGACCAAAGTTGCCCATCCGTGTTTTAGTGTGAGATGTTTGATATGTATCTGCAATATTTCCTTCATAAATTACATAATAAAATATCAATACTTGGCTTTTGTGTATAAGAAGAATGATCCAACACAAAATATTGCAATATTCTGCTGCATCGTGTTTTTTTCCCACCACTAGAATATTCCCTCCAAACATTCCTGCGTCTGACGCTCGAGCATTTACAGCTCTGTGGCTCCACTCACACAAAAGCCAGAGGAATGCAAGACATCCCACGCTCAGCGGCGTTTGTTTGAGCTTCTTGTTAATAGCCGGGCAGGAAGTGGTGAAACTCCTGGATGCATGAAGGTTAAAAGGTGGATGAGCAGGACACTCACTGGGCGAGGTGGTGCGGTGGCTGTAAGGGCTGGTGTAGGGGACGGAGCGCTGGTTCCTCAGGGTGGAGTAGCGCTCACAGCCGTGGGACGGAGAGAGGGCGATGGGGGTCACGTACTGGCTGTGAGGGCTGGCGGGAGGGCAGAGAGAGCTGGAGCCCGGGAGAAACCAACCACCTACTGACGCCGCAGAGGAGGAGGAGACACATGATGAAGACACCTGAGCTTTAAAGATGAGAAACTGTGGATTCATGAAATATATAAAAGAATACTAACATTGAGAGTAAGCTGACTGCTGGTTTTCATTGGCCTCTTCTCTCAGGTCTTTGCTATCACCTCTGAAAAAATAAAATTATTAAACTTTGAAATAACTGACATAAATAAAATGTTGTTGTGAACACTTTGTGTTTTCTTACCTCTCCTTCGCATCCAGGAAGGCCTTGGCAAAAGGGTTGTGCTTTATTTTAAGAGAAGTTACCTAAAATCAAAATTTACACATCAAACATAATAACACTTCTGGTTTGCCATCGAACAGATTGAAAAAGATAAAGATGTAATTATTTTAAACATGTTATTTCTGAGAACTTTTTTGACTTTTTCCCAATTTTGTCTTTTCTTAGAATTTGAGGAGATGAAAAAACTTAACAAGAGTAAAAACATGAAACCTAATAATCTATTGGAATTTAAAATTCTCAGAGGGAACACAAAGACCAGGTTAAAGTTACCTTAATCTCCCAAACACTTTCTCTACTTCTCAGAAAATAAAAGCCTCATGTGGACAAGAGAGAGCATTTGGCTATAAACACTAAGAGTAGAGCATCTAGGACTTTTATATGGTTTAATGTTACAGCACCAATGTTACTGTGTCTCCATGTCAAATATACAAATAAATACAAATAAATGACTTCCTGTACAGGTTGTGGACAGTCAACTAAATGCTATAAGATCTGTGCGTAAATTACGCACATTTACGCACAGATTTTGCGCAGATTTTTTTCAAAGAAATATCACTGATATTTTTCAAAGGTTTTAATGCCCACCTCTTCGTTTTGATACGCTGTCACTGCAATGAACTGTGTCTCTGGGAACGAGTGGCTGGTGATCATCCTCCTAGGGCCTCCAACCCGGACTATGTGGATGCGTGGCTCGTACTTGTGTAAGGAGTTTAGCATGATCTGAAAACAAGCGACACGAAGATGGTTATTTTCTGAGTGATGATTTCAACCTGATTCTTCAACAAGTTACAGCCTGATCATTTGTAAAAGAACAGGCAGCCACTTGACTGTTTTAATCTGCAGAAAGTAACAACATGGACCGATCACTTCGATCCGTACCTGGCCTCCTCCGTTCAGTTTATTGGTGAGTTTGACTTTACTAAAGGAGACGGGAGCTTTCATCCAGTGCGCCCCGAAGTTTGGAGAGTCCGGATGGATGTACACACAGCTGGGAGTCTGAGGTTCAGGTTTCCCACCGGGGATCCACTCCCCGTTCACGTATTTCCACCTGTGGTTGTCCGCGGAGACGAAGTCCAGCAGGATAGAATACATAGCGTTCGGGTCCAATCCGGACACGTTCACTTTGAGCACCGGAAACATGCGCCTTCATTTTTTAACAAAACAAAGGAAAATAACCAAAAATAACCAAAGATGCAATCAAAATGGTTACAATTAAGCAATAAAAGTTAGAAAACTCGATTTAAAAAGACAAGAAAAACAAGAAAAAAATAAATACGAGACATAAAAAAGTGATAAACAAAGATATAAACTCGCACTAATGCCATTACATGCCTCCATATTAATGTTATTAAAGTTATACTCAATTTAAAAGTTAGTTATGTCACATGAATATCCGAGAAAACCCGAAATAATTATTCTTATCTCAGCTCACCTGCCGTTCTTTGTAACAATCATTTCATTCGTGAGATCTTTAAATTGGTGCCAAAGCTCGCTCTCATCCAGACACACTTTCAGCTCCCTCTCCGTGGGGTCTCCCTTCTCGCTGCCGGCCTGCAGCTCACTCTCCACGGCGCTGAGGAGGTGGTCCACCCGGTGCGGACTGGCCTTCCCCGGACACTCTCCTGCGCCTGCGCTCATCCTGTCCAACAGCTCCAGGGTGGAAAAGTCAAAAATCACAGATCTAACCGATCAGAAGAAGTCTCTTCCAGAGTTTTTATCCCGCTTCGTAAGTTCCTAAGAAGAGACTCATGAAGAGCTGCTTCATATATAGTCCGGAGAGGAGCTCCATGTCAGGATGTGTGCTCGGAGCAGAGGTGGTTGGCTCATCCTTTCTTTTGATCTTTGCGGGCTTTGCTCTGATTGGCTGAGAGCAGCCATCTCACTGAGGTCCACAGGATGACAGCGTTTTGAATAAAGCTCTTTAACCTACTTTATGACATCAACCTGTAAATATTGACACTTAGATCAAAGCCACACCTGCAGACAGAAAAGCGCAGCAGCGCGACCTGCAGGGATTTTACTGCACGTGGGTTTCCTCATTTCATCAACTCAGTGAAGTATAGTGATACTAAAGTTCCAGGACAAAACGGAACTCATGTTGATTTACTAGCTACATACTACAATTTTATCTTCAGTAATTTGCTATTTGTTCTGCACTAAAAGCCCTTGTCAAATTCCTTGTGTGTGAATGCAATAAAAAAATTCTGATTCTGAGAGATGGATGGATGAATAGATGGATGAATGGATAGATAGATGGATGGATGAATAGATGGATGAATAGATGGCTGAATAGATAGATGGATGAATAGATGGCTGAATAGATAGATGGATGAATGGATGGATGAATAGATGGATGAATGGATGGATGGATGAATAGATGGATGAATAGATGGATGAATGGATAGATGAATGGATGGATATAAACAAGAGAAATAAACTCAGCAATAGCAGAATTGATCATAATTCACCTACAAGAATGAAATAATATTATTTTTTATAAATTAACAGAAGAAAGTTCACAAAGTAACAATAATACCCTTTAAGAATAAAAATGTCCTCCATTTTATTTCTGTCTTCCTTTCTCATTTTGAGTTTGAACAGTTTCCCCTCAGCTCCTGTGTTTCCTCGTGATAACCTCATATCCACCAGTCTCTGTTTTTATCATGGTCTTTATTCATGACTGTGAGGTGGAGGTCTGTTGATTTGTTTTGATCTAAAGTTCTTTGTGCCACATTATAATTGTATTGAAGGAAAGTTTGATTGATCATCACACATCATTTCTTCACCGTTCATAAAGTTTAATGTAACAATATCAAAACTGTTATTTCAGAAACATCTACACATACATTTATAGTTTACACCAAGAAGCCTTATTTAACTTCAAGCCTTATTATATGGACTTGAATGTTAGTGTTATGGTTTAATATTTAATGCAGTACAAAGAGGGCAAAGTTCACTGCAGTCAAACTCGTTGTTTGTGTAAAAACACCTGGCCAATAAAGTTGAGTCCAAGCAGCAACGTCCGGTAAAGGCAACGCAAAAGTGCAATTATTATTATTTATTATTAGTGTAAATTATGCCGTTTACAGCTCAGAGACAATAACAAGAATATTGAACATAGATTACAACAAATCAAAACAATAACACCTGCAGTTACACCCCGTAAGAGACGCTCTGATGTCACCTCTTCAGTAATCTGTGTAGTTTCTCCAAAACGTAAATCCACGGTCAATTATCTAAACAGAAGACAAAACAAATTAGACTCTTAAGTTATAATGCCATTAACAAATGTGAATCTGAGGAGTCTTTTACCTCAACACTCTTCTGTTGACATAAATCTTCGATGGATAAAGGATCAGGGGGTTTTCGAGAGCATGGTGCTGTGACGCCGACAAGAGGCTCAGAACGTCGGTGACCGCTGGAAACACAAGACATGCAGAGTGACAATAAGTCTTCTGTCTACAACAAAGGAGGAGAGAGAGAGAGAGATATATATATTTCAAAATGAGAGTCATCCTGCTCTAGCTGCACCCCGGATGAGAAGCAGGCTGCACACCCATCGATCTTGAAGATATATGATGTCATATATGTCAGATTGCACGCTTGCTTTGGGCACTTGGTAAATAGTAAATGGACTTGAGCTTGTATATTTATATTCTAGTCTTCGGACTACTCAAAGTGCTCAAAGGTCACACCTAATTAGCTAGTCCAATGCATACATGTTTGTACACAGCCAACAAAGCAGAAGGAGCAACTTGGGGTTAAGTGCCTTGCCCGAGGACACAACGGACATGTTGCTTCACAACGCCGGTGGTGGAATGAACTTCCAAACTCCATGTGATCTGCAGAGTCCCTCTGCACCTTTAAGAAAAAGCTAAAGACCCAGCTCTTTCATGAATACCTACTAACTTAATGATGATGGTCTCCATATTATTGATGATGATGATGGTAATGACGATGGTTTTTGTTTGATAACGACGACTTATAAGATGGTTTCTATACTGATTAGAGCTCTCAAGAACTGCCCTCAATGTTGTGCTTTGCCTCTGGTCACTTCCTGTCAGCACCTGTGGTCACTTCCTGTCAGCACCTGTGTGTCCAATCAGACTCAAAGCTGATCGTTTGCTCTTACTGACATTGTTCCTTTTTTCTAGATCCTTGCTTGTGTTGTTCTTACTCTCTGATGTACGTCGCTCTGGATAAAAGCGTCTGCTAAGTGAATTGTAGAATTGTAGTTGTCCGACTGTGAGTGCATGATTGTTCCAGAGACCTTAAAAAAAAAAAAAGGTAGGAGAAATGTGGAAATTAAACGCACCTGATCGAGCTCTTTCTGCTCGGCTGTTTGGGAGATGCAGGTCGGCTGTTTTGGACACTTCCTGGTTGTTTCAGGGTGCAAAGGAGCAGCATGTTGGTTTGGTTTGTCTTCCCATGTTTGGGGTCTATTCCTGGAAGCATCTATGGAAGAATTCAATTCAATTCAAAAACCTTTATTTGTCCCCCAGGGGTCAATTCAAAGGCACACAGAGCAGTAAATTAACAACAGTGAAGGTAGATGAAACTTAAATATATATAAACTTAAAATATAAAGTGTCAATTTAAATACAACTTAAAGCTTAAACTTAACTTAAAATCCAAAATATAAAAAAAAATGTAAACAGAACTATGTGCAGTAAACGAGAAATAAATATATATATACAGAACTATGTGCAAGTAGGCAAATACTAAATAATAAGTTATAAGGAGCATGGAGAATAATGGAACAACAGAACTAATATAATATAACTATAAAAGGTAAATATGAGATAAATAAAGTGACCGTAGTGCAATGATGGATAAGAAACAACAGGAATAAAGTAACCAGAACTGTATGAATACTGACATAAAATGGATAGACTAAAGTGAAGAACAATAACAACTCAAACTGATAACTCCATTAATAAACAGATTAACATGTGGTGCAGCGGTTTCACAAAAATAACTTTACTTTAATTTGACTCGCTGTGACCTGTTGCCATGGGGGATTCCAAAGACATAAACAAACATTTTAAAAAACAGATAGTTTGTGACAGCTACGTGTTAGCTACCATAGAGTCTCTGTGGTGTTGTGTTGTGTTGTGGCTGGTTTGTGTTACTAACCAGATCTGGGTCTCCTCCTCGCCCCTCCTGCCAGCTCAGAGAGTCTGCCTCCCTGTCCAGGAGTCTGGACACCAGCGTTCACAGCGAGCAGAGAAAAACAAACCTCGCATCAGTTTAAAGAGGAGTTGTAAGACTTTTTCCAATACGCTTCTGACCCCCCTCTCTCTCCATTACAACAGAATCAACTTTAATTTGGGTCTTCACCTCTGTGAGAACGCCATGTTGCTTAAACAAAGATCATGCATTTGTCTCAGCCGTCTCGAGTAAATCTCTGCTTTCCTGCTCTTCTTCGGTGTCTCAGGGATAATCTGTTGTGAGGAAGCAGACAGTAGGAGTGAGAAGTTCCCTCTGTTGGTCTGTATTGTCTCAAAAAGAGTCAAAGTCATTGGCTCACTCACCACATTTGGCATCGTGCTCTGAAAGCTCCTCATGAAGTCCGGCTGCAGAGTTGCAAAAGTTGGAGCTTTCATCTGTGGGGTGGCACATATCACATTCACGTCTCATTTCCTTTCACTGTTAATCAGTTTGTTATTTAAAAAAAAAAAAGAGAGACCTCCCCCTTGTATACGAGTGGAGGTAAGCTGTGGTGTAAAAAAAGTCAGAGGTGTCACAGCCAGTGTCGTTTCCCACAGTCCTGGTGTCCCGTTTGGCGCCTCTCTCTCTCCTCCTCTAACACCCCACACAGCGCTGACTGTCACACTAAGCCACTTCCTGATGTGGGGACTGCAGCACTGTGGATTCATGTTATTGATCTATACAGTGCAGATCCCCCAGGCTCACCCCCCCCCTCTCTGTCCTAAAATAATACAATGCAGGTGCAGCTCTAATAAACTTCAGAGAACTCATTCAGGTCTGAACCTTTGATTGTAAATGTTTCAGTGACTTTGCATGTTTTTAACAATTTCCTACAAGTTACTTTATTTAACTACAAAACCATTTTGTGTTTTAGATATTTGATTCTGATGCCTGATAACAAGTCCCGCTTTAATATTTAAGATTTATTTTGGGGCTTTTTACGCCTTTATTTAGAGTTAGGACAGTGGATAGAGTCAGAAACTGGAGAGACAGAGAGAGTGGGGAACGACATGCGGGAAAGCAGCCACAGGTTGAATTTGAAGCCAGGCTTGAAAACACTCTTAATTATGGGTGTACTACTGACACCTCAGGGTGCTGTCTCCTGACCTCACCACAGTTCCTACACATCTGTATCTTTAGCTTCCTCACATGCACCCTTACCCTAAACCCTCGATTGACACCTTAAAGATGTCAGAAGGGGTGACAGGCCTCTCCTGCAGTGGGTGATCTGTGCTGTGGTGAGTTATTCTGGCTTTGACCAGTCCCAGTCTGACCACTGTTTGCACTTCCCCCTCTTCTCCCTCCAGCCGGGCTCGGCCTCTGTTTGCTCAGGCCAGTTTTTTCTTTTACACAGAGGTGAGAGAATAAATGAGTCCTGCGTGCTCGTCCGTATATGCTCACCTCAGCACCTGAGCGTAACCTCAGCT